TATTGTAAGATTTTAGATTTATTCCAATTTAAATCCTATATCACGTTAGCTACACTATACATCTGATGAAGTAAGATTCAGCTTATGCCTTTTAATAAATGTATTAAGTGCAAATGTGCTATTAGACTTCTGGGCCTTTTTTTTCTATCATAGACTAATATGGTTCTCTTCCCACAGTGAAATATCTTAAAAGTTGTTGAACCAGAGAGTGTGGTATCCTAGCAAAATTGGTTCTTACAAAATGATTCCTTTCCCAATTTCTTTCATGAAATTGGTATAGTGCTATGGCATTACTGCCTTCTAGGAACTTCTTGAAAAATAGGCTAGGTAGATCATGTTCACTTTACAGTATTTCTGTTGATCGTTTCTCTTTGGTTTTCTTCTTGTCTTCTTACCAATGTTCAGTAAGTTCGGTTATGGAAATTAATACATAAGAAGGAGAAGCCCGTCCACTCTGAATTAATTCTGGGGGTCCTTCTGCTCCTTATTTATCAAAAAAACACATTTCCAGCATCTTCTCAGACTATAATTAACTCTCTTATCAAGACTTTTGGCATGTCTTCTCAATTTTCAAAATGTGTACAGCACTTTTGCACATTCATTCTGAATCTTAGAGTAAGAACAAAACATTTGAACTAGAGTTTTCAGGGAATAAGCAAGTTCAGAAGAATGTCACTTAACTGGATATTGTAAGATTGTTGTTTATCTATAATAGCAAAAAGGCAAAACGAAATCAATAATAACTTTTTTCAAACAACAAATCTTATGGGACCAGGCCAGGTTGCATCTGAACTATACTTTGCCTTTCTTTCTAGTTGCATGCATCAAAAAGTCAATAAAACAAATTGCAGCAAAAAATGAATAAAATAGAAGCCTAAATATTGTCCACAGCTATTTGCAAAGCATTAAACTAGAAATATCAATCTTTCTCTTGTTTTGCAAATAGAGGAATAGGCAAAAAGTATCCTGTGCTTTTAAATCACAGTTAGACCTATAGTCTACTGATTTCTATGTAATTAAAAAACCTCTGATCTTTTAAAAACATCATTTCTAGTCATCATTTCTATTCTATTCTGTGAGCAGAAGCTGAGCTGTACTGCATAATTCTATATCCTGCATTGTAGATATGATATAAACCCTCCCCCAGGTGTGCATATTCCCAGGCCTTGAAATCATGAGGCTACATGGGTGAAATCTGTTTCCCATCAGAAATTCACAGTGTACAGTAATGTGATTATATCACATAAGATGTTTAAATGGAATATATGAAACAGACTTGCTCCTTTCCCATATGCTAAGTGAAAGAGACAGTAAAATAATTGAACTATGGTACAAATGGCTCTGTAATTTTATTTCTGGACACAAAGTAGTGCAACAAGAATCAGTCTGGTGTGGTGGTTAAGGCATCAGGATAGAAACAAGGAGAGTGTGAACTCTATTCCCACTATAGGCACAAAACCAGCTGGGTTACCGTGAGCCAGGCACTTTCTCAATCCTAGGAAGGAAGCAACAGAAAATTACTTCTGAAATTTTGCAAAGAAAACTAGTTCAAACAATCCCCCCCTCTCTCTCCCTCTCTCCCTCCCTCTCTCCCTCCCTCTCTCTCTCCCTCTCTCCTTCCGTGTGTGTGTGTGTGTGTATGTATGTGTGTGTGTGTGTGTGAGAGAGAGAGAGAGAGAGAATTGTAAATCTTATTCAGCAAAAGAAGTACTATTAGCCCAGCCACAAACAAGATTTCTATGCTATGTATTTCTTTTCAGAAACAGATTTTAACTCAGGAGGCTAAAAATAGAATCATATAATGATAGCTTTATTAATGAATTTCATATGTATAACAAAAAGCTATTAGGGAAATTCAGAGACAGGACTATTCATGTAACCTAGTAAGAAGTTGCAAAATTTGTTAAAGCTCAAATTAAGATTTTCTATTGGGCCTTAAAATAGGAATGGGAGCCAAAAACTATAAGCATAATCCCAATTGTCATGCTAGCCCACAGTCAGAATTACTTACACTTTGCAAATCATCTTTATGCATCATAAACCATGTATTATACTATTGAAGATTAGCAGAACATACATACATTAATTCAGATTATCTCCATTCGAACAGACTCACCACAGCTTTTTCTGGTACAAGACCTTCAGAGTCAAGACCTATACCACATATCAATGAGTCAGAGTACTCAGAAGCTTTTAATCTTTTCTTTAAAAAAAAAAAGTCATTCCATCCAATATAGCTAAAATCATTTCCCAGACATTGGGGCAGATAAACTACCTAAACTGATTATCATTTTGGAATTGTTTTTTGGTTGGTTGGTGTTGGTTTGGGTTATTTTGCTCAATCCATTACCATCTCCACATATCACTTTGTCATATATTCCATTAGTCATTTAAATCTGCATAAGTGTGTGTGTGTGTGTGTGTGTGTGTGTGTGTGTGTGTGCCCGCCTGCCTGCCTGCCTGTCTGTCTGTCTAAATATTTTTTTATATATATGCAATCTGAATTTGGGAAGGTCTAACCATACATTGTGCAGATGTACCTAGACCCAATGACAGTTATTTGGTTGTGGCATTCAGTGTACACTCTCCCTGATTGTTTCTTCAACCCTGCCACTCTATGTTGGACTGTCTCCCAAGCCTCCTTCCAAAGTCTGCAACTTGAATTCTGTCTGGTGGTTGGCATCTGCCTCTATGTTTCTGTTTGTATACCATTTGCCTGAACAAACAAATTCATTACCATTAGTTTATTCTCTTGAACCAATGTATTACTATCACAAGATCCCACTAGATTATCCCCTTTCATCAGTCATTTACATTTTCATAAATGCTCAGTTATTTTTAAAAGATGAAGAGAATATGCATCAAGAAGAGAAGGAAGGAAAAATGCCTTCTTCGTTTTAGATGATGTGTTCTACATTGCAGAGATGTTTCATTCTGTGAATAAGATGGAGAGGATTCCTTCTCAATGAAGTTTTCCAAATGACTGCAATAAGTAAATCTTGTTCAAACAGACTTATTCATAGGTAAATTCTTGTAAAACTAAAACCTTATAGTGGAACCTCTACAGAAAGGAACCCCCAAATTACTTATATTCAGAACAAGTACTTTTAAAAAGTTAACATATTGAATTAGAATGCCCTTTTCAATTTCAGCTAGCAACCAATTAAAAATTGCAAAATTGACATGGATTCAGTTTATGCCCTGTCCAGATAAGTTAACTGTGAGAATGTAATGGGGGGAAAAAATAAGATACTCATATTCAATATTGATCCTGCTAAGGTTCATGGTCATCTTTCCTAGTCTAGATTTTGATTAAACCATACAATAGCCTGCAGTGGGAAGAGGATGAGGAATATTAATACTTTTAATACAGTGTTTGTTACTACTGCAATACACTCAACCATACCCTAGAAAGAGTGCAGAGAAGAGCAACAAAGAAGATTAGAGGACTGGAGACTAAAACATATGAAGAACGGTTGCAGGGACTGGGTATGTCTAGTTTAATGAAAAGAAGGACTAGGGGAGACATGATAGCAATGTTCCAATATCTCAGGGGCTGCCACAAAGAGGAGGGAGTCAAACTATTCTCCAAAGCACCTGAGGGTAAGACAAGAAGCAATTGATGAAAATTAATCAAGGAGACAACCAATTTAGAGCTAAGGAGAAATTTCCTGACAGTTAGAACAATTAATCATAGGAACAACTTGCCTCCAGAAGTTGTGAATGCTCCAACACTGGAAGTCTTTAAGAAGATGTTGGATAACCATTTGTCTGAAGTAGTGTAGGGTGTCTTGCCTAAGCATGGGATTGGACTAGAAGACTTCCAAGGTCCCTTCCAACTCTGTTATTCTATATATCACTTGGAGTTGTCACATTTAGAAAATTAGAGGAAAACAGCACTGCATCCTTAACCATTGTAGGAGGAGAGTCATATTAGACTATGGTGAAAAAAACATCCAAAAGCACTTTTTCCAACTAACAAGTTTTATTAAAAGGCATAACCTTTCATGAGTTGCAGCTCACTTTTTTAGAGCAACCTGTCTTAGAGCAATTTATCTTGAGTGACATCTACTGGTGAAAAGTGACTGCTCAGCAAATCTTTGTCACTAGTTGCTTCTGGAAGATTACCATTTAACCAGCCTAGATTGCTTTCGTATGTTGCTCAATCACCCTTATCAAAGTAGCAGTCAGAGTGTACTATACCTCTGCTACCATATAATCTAAAACCAGAGGCTGCAACCTGCTTTTATTTTAAAGCAGCGAAAAAACATTCGGCAATCTTTTCTATTAAAACTCATAGAGTTTCCATTTGAAGAACATCGCCTCAGTTTATTAGCTTAAAAAGTCAAACCTGCCTCTCCCCTCCCCCTCCCTGACAGTGTAGATGGAGAAAAGAACGTTGTTGCTGGGAATTCGGGAACCGCTTTTTTCGCGGACTTTGATCTCCTATATCACTGCCAAAGCAAGACCTTTGAGATCTCCTTGTCTCTATTACTCTTCGGAGATTTCAGTCTGCTTCTTGCCTAATTACTACTTCGTTCTCGATTTCACCTTCTTTCCTCTGGACATCTTTTCAAAAACAGCACCAGACATCTTGGAGTATGTACTGGCGAGGAGGTGAAGCAGAGTCGTCCGGCGGCAAAGAAGGTTCGGCGAATGGAACTGTCCAGCGTCTCGAGGTGCTGAAAAAGTCTCGAGACGTTCGCTTGGAGAACGGGCAGCGTTAGCGCTGGCGTACCGAATGCTAGGAAAGCTTGGTAGGGCGGCGCCACCTATCTACTAAATAGGAATCGAGCGGAGATTAACTCAAAACGACAGAGAAACACGAGGGTGGGAGGGGGCATTCGGGCGCATTCGCAAGAGCACGCCCAGCTCCTGTACCCTCTCCCTGACTGCTGAGCTAATGGGATAAGAGCCCCCCTAGCAAGCGCCTCCCCCTTCCTGGGACCGCCTTCTCCTGCTTGGGCAGCTAGAGTAAGCGCCTTCAGCATCTGGATGGCAATGCTTCAGCCCATCTGCTGAACCCGTGAAGAAGATGGAATCGTATGGCAAGAGAGCTCTTTACTCAGAAGGTAAGGGAATAGGTGCGCAAGGAGAAATGGTATGCATGTGGTCGAGGGGGGGGGGGGAGTGACGAGTGGAGGGATTTATGTCCCCTCACTTTCTACCTCTTCTTCTAAGTCCTGCTTGGACTGTGGATGCTTTTAGAAACTGTAGCAAAATTAGAGATGCTAAGGATGAGATTCTTTCCATTCAATGCCTTCCTTTTCTTCTTCCACTTCTGTTTTGTTTTCCTGGTTCTCTTTACTAATACCAGATCAGCTCCCTCTGCCTAACTCCACATGCACACACACTGCTTAAGTGAATGCTGAATTTCTGAAAGAGATGGCGGATGACAGCTAAGTGTGCCTGTATCACGTATAACATGTGTGTCTTAGTTTCTCAAAGTCATCCAGTCCTGCTGTAACCCATACATTACTTTCTTGGAGTTTCTTTAACTCACAGGGCAAGGATACTCAAATTTCTAGATGCCTTAGACATAATTTTACAAAACCAAAAGGAGGTGGGAAAAATGGAGTTTTCCTTGAAGAGAGATGTTGATTTGGAGAGAAAAGTATATGCAGGGGCTGAAGAGAAGAATCAGCGACACTGGGTGCAAGAGACACTTGCAGGAGAAAAAAAACCCATTTTGGTTAGTTACAATCCCTGGGGAAGCTCCAACAGGTAATTTAGATTTTTCTGTCCTTATTCCATTCACTCCTACCTCTGTCTAGGCTGGTGTTTATAGTAAATACTTTATTTATTTATTTCTAGAATTAAAGCACACAATCTCTTTCCAGAATCCTTGTTTTTCAAGCTGCCTTGAAGAGAAATATTCTAAGGCTGATTCCCTTCAAGAGAGGGGGAAGTTAAAATGCTTGGGTAGAATTTCCAGATTAATTCAAAATGTATATCCCCAAGGTGAATAGTTGGCTGACTGTCTCAATTAACCCAGTAGGTTGAGCAAAACTAAATTAAGCAATTCAGTAGTAGCCTCCTTATCTATTTTTCCTCTGCTGTTATTTCCTGATTTTTTTAACCTGCATGTGGAGATCTAGAGATAGGAAAGAACTTTCAAATATATCCCCAAATTTATTTTTTTCTGTCACTCCTTGTGCCACACCTCCACTCCCAAACCATATGAGAACAATAATATTTTCCTTCAATATGTCTCAAGCAAGCTGATAAGTTACAAAATATGAAGAATAAATAAATAAATATATAAATGCATTGGGCTCATTATAATCTGTGTATAGTGTTTAGTTTGGAAAGATGAAAGTTGGCATATCTTTATTGTGATACTCTAAACTCTGTTTATGCTGGTTACATCGCTTAGAGAAAGATAAATGCAAACTCTTGTAAATAGATGTATTATCAACTGGGAGAAGAGAGGAATCTAATTGTGACACAGTGCAAAAGGCTCATCTGAGCACAGTTTGCATTTTAAATGAAATGATACTTGAACCTAAGTGTGAGATTTTTTTTAAAAAAAATATTCAGACTAAAAAAGCTACAGTCTAAAGTATTTGTCTTATTATAAACCTAACATTTACCTGATGAAACTCTGAGTTTGCAGTTTCTCTTTTCTTTTTTAGATTATCATTGTCTGTTTAGAAATAAATTGTATTTGTTGTGGGGGGAGGAAAAACATACGTATGCTTTTCTGGTACACACACATTTTGGATTTCTGGCAGAAATTAACAAGAATCCATCATTTATTTCCTTTATCTATGGGTGAATAAGTAAGTGTTTCATAAAGTTCTTCTCCAGTGTGCTATCGATCTAAGCAAAGACTGTGGATTTATATTTTCAGTGTAGAAATCAAATTATTAACAGCTCTAGCTTAAAGATGACTCATGTCTATTTAAGAATGGATGGAATGCCCCAAAAATACAAATTATTTTGAAGAAAGCTTGAAATAAACCAAGAGCTTTTGCTTAGTCTTGGGGCTTTTTTGTGATGGCATGATACTTGTTACTGAAAGAAAAAAAATTGTTGTGACAGTTAGCTAACATTTTGTTTAAGTGATATAGATAAATTCTTCTACTCAAAAATATCAATGTACTGCTAGATTTTTTAAAAAATCCTTCTGTCAATTCATCTATTTGTATCTTTGTAGACACATATACAAAATATACTATGCCTATTTATTGTTGCTTTTAAGTACTCAAATGACGTTAATATGAGTCTAATCCAAACTGTAATAGCACCTTTCCTGTTGCATTTGATGGCTGGGGAAAAAAAACGTAGAATGTACTGTGTTCTTATTCTAGTTGGTTCACAATAGTATGTCATTGTCAGCATTATATATATTTACATGTGTTCCTATGGAAGGAGGATTTTTGGCAACAATCTATTGCTATTAAAACATCTATCTAAAATAGTTACATACCATTTGCTTGTTTGCTTGTTTACTATTGATATCCTAGAGTGACATTTAGCTCAAATATATTGACAGCCAAATTATGTTAAATTGTGCAGTGAGGTGAACAACCTTACGAAACCTTGCCAACCATTGGCAAAACAAAGTACTGCGAGCATATAAAATATGTACATTGCACATTTATTTCAGAATAAATTATTTTACTAGTGGGACTAGAGCCAATTCATTTATTTTCAAGACTAAATTATTACAATATAGCATATTTATGTTTATGTGTGGATTTTGCTCTTGCAGATGACATTCTATGATGAAAGTTTTTCCTTTACCTTAGAATACCTTGTGCATACTTTACATTTTGCATGTACTACTGTTATAGTAGGATGTAGCCTATGGCATACTCCACATTGGTCTCTTAGAAACCACTTAAACTAATTCAGAATCAAACAGTTCACAGAATCATATGCATACTCTCAAACCTATTTTAAAATTGCTTTGGAAAAAGTGAACTGCTCTATGTTTTATGTTATTTTTAATTAATATTACGATATTAATAAACATAGCTTGTTCTTTGGAGCATGTCAATAAGTACATTTCTTTAAATATTCCTGCAAATCCTGCAATTGTTAATTAACACTGCAATCCAATAAATATACTCAATCAATGTAAACTTTCTGAGTTCAATACAATAAGATTTAAAAGCACTGAATTTTGACTTGCAGTTTTACATATACTTATTTAGAATCAGAGTAAAAGCTACTTAAATCAGTGGAATTTACTCAGAATCACCACAAGGCCATGTCTACAATCTGTTTTAACATAAATAGTTTTTTTTTAAAAAAAATGTAACTTATGCAAATTCAATTATGGCTTAATGTTGACTTAAGGACATATTTGGTGTGCTTGTGACAGCAACATGAAGTACAGATGCAGATATTGCAAACATTTAGAGAAATGCATTCCGTGCTTTCAGAAATTTTGGGAAAACTCAGTTTCTTTTCAAATATATATTTATATTTATAAATATAATTATCAGACAAATCCAACATTATTCTATTCCATTCCAAGAGGTTCTAAAAATCTATTGTGCTAAAGTAATGTTATGTATTCTCTGGTTTCAGAATTGCTTTTAAATATGCATAGCTTGTACATCAGGAGACTACCTTCTAAGAAAATTGAAATATTTTCTAAGATTTTTCCTTTATTAATAACATAAAATCATGACATATTTAATGGTGCAACTGATCACGTTCAGCTTCTTTTATTAGTTTTAATAGTCCATTAATATTGTCTTCTGGTGAAAGATTTAATGCAATATATAAGTTTATAGAATTGTGCCAGGTTTGTTTTGGGAAATGAGATGTCAGCCACTAACCCTGCATTGTTTAGGTCAACCTCAGAATCTCAAAATTCAGCTATTTAAATGTTTCATTCGGTATTAATTGTGCTCATTCAATCATTCAGTTTTCTTTTTTTACTATATTCAACATTCCTTTTTGACTTGGAGACTCTGCCAGCAAAAATGTAGAATCTTCTTGTTCATCCATCATCACTGATAAAGGCCTCAACAGTGTGGATTTTTTAAAAATAATTATGTTAAGATTAGATGTGGTGTGATGATTGATCAGGCCAATTTGGGCACAGAATGTTCTTGCACATGTTGAACAGACATACATAGATATTGTAGTTGCTGTGCTAGTGGCTTTGGTCTTATGAGGCTAGCACTTATACTGTGTTTCAACAGTGTGCCTTGCTTCGTAAATTTGACCGGCTCTGTGGATGAGACCACAAAGTGGTTTTGTGCCAGCACTTTCCTGGGATTATGTTTATATCAAGTGATGTCAGGGAAGCCTTTAGTGTGCCTTTGTACTATTTCTTCTCATGCAAGCCTCTTCCAGTAGGAAGTTCCCCAAAATAAGTTGCTTGGGTATGTACTTGTTTGGTATACACCTTCCTTGCCACCTGCTCCCCTATTTGTGCTTTCATCAGAAGTGTGTGGAGTGATGGTAGACATGTTCTAGATAAAACTTCAGTGTTTGATTCTTTGTCTTGTCAACTCATGCCTAATATCCTGTAAAGACAAATCATGTGCAAATGGTTAAACTGTCTTGCATTACTTCAACGCACAGTGTTTTGTCAGGCACAAACTCAACAAAAAATAGGCTGTAACATTATAGTGGCAAAGTTACAAGAATATTTGACTTGCTCTTATCTGCTATTTTTTACCCTTAGTCATCCACGACTGATCAATATACTGGAACTTCATTTAACTGATGAAATTATCTTAGGAATTAGATTGAATTAAACTTTTGATGTGGTAGTTGGTGCAGCTTGTTTTTTCTAAAGTTTGTATCAATGGAGTGTCTTCTTTTAGGGATGAAATAGATTATTTGTTTCACTTTTCATATCTTGCTGATATTTTTGGTTTAGTAAAGATATATTTCTAAAACTCGATAATTTTCTGGGACACATATTTTCCAAACTCTGCTTATGTTCAGCTCTCATTTCCAAATCTATCTATGATTATGTTCTAGCAACAAGCTAAAAGCCCACATGCTATATTTCACTTTGCATCTCATAGTAAGGACATTTTTAATAAATTAGACAAACATTATCTATTAAGAAATAAGCCTCAAAATTGTGTGGTTATTATCACTTTAGAATTTATCTTACACATTGTAAAAAGTAAAAGAAAAGTGTTTCAGAGCATGTCTTTCTCCTTTTGCTCTTGAAAGAAGGATAGCATTGGATAGCTTGTGGTTAAAAACTGGACTTTTTGTATTTGAATACATATCAGCTGTCATTGTTAATTGTCTTAATTGTTAAAATAAATACCAAATTATGGTTATAAATGCTAGGTCTTGCAAATAAATATGGGCATGGAATTGAGATTCATTCTAAAATTCTAACAAGTGGTTTAAATATTGATATTACCTTTTGCTTTAATACCTTGATTTTTAAGATATTAAATCTTCCACCTTTCACTTTTTTTGCTTTTGTTCCTGATAATGAATGAAGGCCTTGAATTATCTTTTTCATTTCCCTTGTTAATTTGGAAATAAATGGGATGTCTTTTACTAGGAGTGTATGGAAGCACACAAATTATTTTTAATAAATGTGATTTCAAAACTATTCCAATATTTCAATTTTCAAAATATTTACTGCATTAAAATAAACATATACATTTGTATGGAATATAGAATAGAATTGACCCATGGTGAACTAGACAGCAAGTAAATTTAACTTTATTAATAAATATCTTTAGGTAAGATGGATCACACACAAATATAATATTAATTATAAATAAATCATGGACTTAGCTTTTCTTCACTAGTTTGCCATCCTGCATTTCAGCTGATTTTATTTCCAAAAATATATATAATTGAATTGTTTAATTGGCATATAATTGTTTTAAAGACAGCTTTTACAGTGATTTAGCAAAAGTGATTTTTTAATTCTTATTTAACCTTCAAAGATCTGTTGATGTCAGTTCCTTTAATGTCAAAATATACTTATAGAACTCTCTATACATGTAAGATATCTGACAGTAAAATGATACCAGTTAAATAATCTAAATGGACAGTGAGGTTCTGATGGACCAAATAATGGACCATTTACATGCATAGAAAAAGAGGGACTATTTATTGTTATGAAAACAAATAGTCAAAATGTTTTGAAATGTCAGGGGAGTAAACAAAATGTTGAATATAATAAACACATGCTAATTAGGTATACTCTAATTAAATTGTTAACTTAATTTGGGAAATTCAGTTTGGATAGTCAACTTAGCATTTAGCAATAGCACTTAGATTTATATACCACTTCAGAGTGCTTTGCAGCCCTCTCTAAGTGGTTTACAGAGTCAGCATATTGCCTGCAACAATCGGGGCCCACATTTTACCAACCTTAGAAGGATGGAAGGCTGAGAAAACCTTGAGCCTAGTGGGATTCAAACTGCCAAACTGCAGGCAGTCGGCAGTTGGCAGTCACCAGAAGTAGCCTGCAGTACTGCACTCTAACCTCTGTGCCACCGCAGCTTCTATAACAAGTAGATTCAATATGTATTTTTTTTAAGTACATAAAATATAAAAAAGTGTCCCAAACTCCACTGAATTGTTGATTCAATAACATTACAACTGATTTAATGCTCTGCATTAAATTTCAGGCAAATCTTCAAATTGAATATGTTTGAATCTCTAGAATATAGCCACTGTAACACTACAGCAAATTCACAAGCCCATTTTATATTAGCGAACAGAGACTCCCAAACATTGCAGCAATTTGAAAAGCAGGCAGGGGTAAAAAATATACCTAGAACTACAATACTATTAAAAAAAAAACCTTCAGGAATGTGCTGTGAAAATGTAACAATAAAAGTCTCATGCCATAAAGCCATTACAGTATGCTCTCTGAGGAGAATATTCCATAAGTGAGTGGTGACTTTTCTTTTATAAAAATACACCATACATGGAAAAAAGCAACTGTTCTAGTAACATCAAGGTTGGTTGGGAACATGTAGGATGAGAAAGGTCTTTTGATACTAAGATCTGAAGTCCAGAAAGGTTTTAAAAGTAAGAAACCCACATTTCAAATCAGATCTGTAATTGAACTGAAGGCCAGTGGAGCTATTGAAATATTGCTCTGATTTCTACATAAGTGATCTTACAGAGGTATTATGTACTTAGTGAAACTGCTGCAGTATTTTCAGAAATAGCCCCATTTGCAATACCTTATAATAATCCAAACAGGATTACCTGAGCATGGAACATTGAATGTTACATATAATGTAACAAAACACCTATCATTATAGTAGATAGGAGATGTGTAAAGAAGCTTTGGAAAACTGTTGATAGCTTTGTAATGTCAATTATATAATTGATAGGCAGGTAACCAGGTGTTGAGGAGGATGGAAAGCACTCCAGAAATATATCCTTTTGGGGGATAACTGGGAACATTTCATTCAAACCGCTGAAGAAAAGCAATCCTGCTGGTTAAAAATTAAGATTCAAACCTTCCCTTCAATATATGGCTTCACCTCTTTAGCTTTATATTACCATCCAATTTGTGAATTATGCTATTAAAATTGGCCATGCAACTGGTCAGATGTTAGTCATCAATTTAACAGCATTCTTGTGACTTGCTATTTGCTAGAGGCTCTGCCATTTTGCTAAAACTGTCAATGTTGTTGCCTTGCACAAAACTATTCATGTTATAAAGTTTGTATTATTTATTTCTATATCATTTAGATTTCTAAGAACATACAACTCAAGAGCAATCAGAGTTCCGAGTTCTGTTCACCCCACCCGCTTTAGTACAATGGTTCTGTCAAGACTTGCATGTATATTGCTATGTTTTCATGTCTTTAAATAATTAGATTATCTTATTGATTGCAAATCATTTTACAGACCATAAAATTGACATCCAAATACATAAAATAAAGAAACAGACTATGTATATTTGAATGAAAATGCAAAGGAAATGAAAGGTGAACTACATAAAGAGTATGTCTGCAGTTTTAAAAGATGATTTCACTTCACATTGTAGCACAATTAAGATTCTGTAATTGGATGTAGACATATTCTTATACATATATTGGGTATAGACTATGCATTTTCTTAGTGAGCTTCTCAATAAAGGGAATATTTTAAAATATTTTTTCTCCATTGGTTCTCTAGAATTGGGGTTTTGGACATAACCTGGCATTTGTGTAGCTACCTGCATGTGTATATTCTGAAAACTAAATACAACCCTGTATTTTGAAATGAAACCTACAAATAAGACGTGTGAGTTTATGGGTACAGGTGCCCTTTTCAGACAGTCTATTTACAGAAATGCTGGAGATTCTGAAGCTCTTGGGAAATTAGTTTGATACTCTGGTCTGTTATAATAGTTTAGCACTCTGCTAAAAATATTGTTCAAATACTGTTCAAAACCATTTGATGGTCAACAAAAGTCAATTGCCTAATCAGGAATCTGTGCAATGGTGTTCACCTAATTGTTTAACAATGTGCTGGATAATTGCTAAGCTGTTATAATTACTCTCACTTCATTTATGCTTAACCCTTTATGGTGGATTTGAACCAAACCAAACCAAACAAAAACATACAAAATGATATCTCCAACCTATTTCTAGATTTACATATGTGTGCATTCTAGTAAGAATGAGTCCACACACATTGTGGAATGTCTAGCTTAATATCAGTGTTTTTTCAATTAGGGCCCAGCCTTTACTCTTGGGGAAAGCTATTTTAAGCTTGTTTATGAAGAAGCAAATCTAAATTAACATGTTGGTGCCATTTTAAATTGAGTTTAATGAAGAATAATCTGCTATTCAAAATTTTTGCCTATAATAATGATATAACTTTCTTATGCTGATTATCACGTGTATTTTTAAACAATAATTCATTGAACTACCAAGGTTTAAATTTGAAAGGGAAAGCAAGGAGAAACCACATGATCCAGCTACCTACAGTATTTTTTACAATATGAACCTCCCGCCTCCTTTCTTTATATTCCCTGTGGGTGGATGAGCATGGAGGCATGAGACAAACTAATCCAAAATCACGATTTTGATATGCTTGATGTTTTTGTATGTTAACGTTGGAGTACACAAGTTTTCCAGAACACCAAGCTTCTGGCAGTTGATTTTCATGTATCTTGATTTAGATTCCAGGAGTTCTTGTGAAGATGTTGTTAAGAAGTCCTGCAGTGCATTTGTTACCACTAAAACATTGTCCCATGTATTTCAAAGACTCTGTGGAGCTCTACTGTATTCTTACCTCCCACCCCTTCACCATGACTAAGTGTTGCTAGAGAGAATTACACTTAACCATTACACAGATGGCAAAAAGTGGCACTTATCTTGCACTGTCTTTTTTAATTGTATTTTTAGATGGATTTGAACTGAAGCCAAGGATGCCTTGAAGAACTGCTTTCCTCTATCCTGAGACCAGATCCATCATGGCAGCTGGTGTAGCAGCATGGCTTCCTTTTGCCAGGGCAGCTGCCATAGGTTGGATGCCAGTGGCCAACTGTCCCATGCCACTAGCCCCATCAGAAAAAAATAAGCGCCAAGATGAGCTAATCATTCTCAATGTGAGCGGCCGGCGTTTCCAGACATGGAGGACTACATTGGAGAGATACCCTGATACTCTACTTGGCAGCACAGAGAAAGAGTTCTTCTTTAATGAAGACACCAAGGAATACTTTTTTGACCGGGATCCTGATGTCTTTAGGTGTATCTTAAACTTTTATAGAACTGGTAAACTACATTATCCAAGGTATGAGTGTATCTCCGCTTATGACGAGGAGCTTGCTTTTTATGGGATCCTGCCTGATATCATTGGGGACTGCTGCTATGAAGAGTACAAGGATAGAAAGCGGGAAAATGCTGAGCGATTGATGGATGATGCTGATTCTGAGAATAAGCAAGACTCCATGCCAGCCCTGAGCTTCCGGGAGACCATGTGGCGAGCCTTTGAGAACCCTCATACTAGCACTTTAGCCTTAGTCTTTTATTATGTCACAGGCTTCTTTATTGCTGTTTCTGTGATCACCAATGTGGTGGAGACCGTACCATGTGGCTCCATATCCGGCAACAAAGAACAGCCATGTGGGGATAGGTATGAAATGGCTTTTTTCTGCTTGGACACAGCTTGTGTTATGATTTTTACAGTTGAATACCTGATGCGACTTTTTGCAGCTCCCAGCCGGTACCGGTTCATCAGGAGTGTGATGAGTATCATCGATGTGGTGGCCATCATGCCCTACTACATAGGTTTGGTGATGACCGGCAATGAGGATGTCAGTGGAGCTTTTGTGACTCTGAGGGTTTTCAGGGTATTCAGGATTTTCAAGTTCTCCCGTCATTCCCAAGGCTTGCGAATCTTGGGGTACACACTGAAGAGCTGTGCCTCTGAGCTTGGTTTTCTTCTCTTTTCACTCACGATGGCAATTATTATCTTTGCTACTGTGATGTTTTATGCAGAGAAAGGATCTTCAGCTAGCAAGTTCACTAGCATTCCAGCATCATTTTGGTATACTATTGTCACCATGACAACTCTTGGGTAAGTACTATATTTTTCTTTCTTGAGCAAAGAAAAAGGTTACTGATTCGTGGAGTTTCAGAATTTTCTGTGGTTGCTGATCTTCTACCCCTCCTAGATCATAAATCAAAGATATTTTTTCCTTTTGATTGTTCTACTGTGTACATTAGTTACAACAAATTACCATTTCATATTTGCAGTTAGAAAAGGACATAGTTAGTTTATAGCACGAGAGGATAGGCCAAAATGTTTTGGAAAATCAGTTGTTAGTTAATTAATTTGGAATCTTTGGAGTTTCTTCCTGTTCTCATTTTGTATATGAGCAGCATGTAAAAATAGTTTCTTTTGGTTTAAATAATACATTTCTAGTATGGGATTATTGAAATCCTTTTTACACTGCTTTTGACAAAAGGTGAGATGGTGATTAATTAAAACTGGACTCAAAAGATTATGGTCTAATTCAACTGGAAAAGAAAGCGGGCACAAACTAAATGTTTAGAAAGCAAATCAAAGTGTACATTTGCATTCTTCGAAATAAAATATTTCATTTTAACGTGCTTGAGCCGCTCTCAAAAATGTCAGCTTCAAAGAGCGCTGACACTATTTACTCTTGTATTGTTATTTGATTCTTCCACATTTTAAACAAAGGGCATTCTCATGCTTTTAGAATTTCTTCACTCAATTTGTTTTCTGATCAGCACAAGGTACTGAGTTAAGAAATAAAATGCAAAAACTCAGATAGGGAGGAATATGAAAAGACAAATTGTAAACAATTACCCTTACCTGTTAGTGGTGTCAGTGGATATTTATTTCAGTTTTATTGTTGCTAGCAATTCATGGTTAGCATTTTTCATGTTTTAACAATATCTTGGAGGAAGAGCAGGACAGATAATATTTATAAACTGAATGTGTAAGAAGGATAACCCTAATGGTTCTTTCATCCTTAATTGTTCCTTAGCTTTGGAATAAATCCAAACAGATATTGCAAATTAAGAACAGACTAAACTGGAAATTAATGTACATGGTTAAATGAGTGTGTGCCAAGAAAAAAGACTTGGGGTGATAGTAGTATGATATCCATAGTACAGGAATTACAAAATGTTAAATTCACCAAGCCTGATGGTGAAATCACATCCCCATATACCTGAATGTTTTGGACTGGTGTAAACATTTGCAATCTGTATTACAAAGGAGGGGCACACAACCCATGGGATATTTCCACTATTTTTGTATATCATAGGCACCATTTGAAATTTCAATTTTTGCTTTAACTTTAAGAAGGAATGTTGATGGTAGTTATAAACTTTTTTAAGTGGAAAAAAATCACCTTTAGCTGCTTTCCCCCCAGTTATTTAACCTCTGCATATAATATCAGGGTTTGTATATCAGCAAAAAAAAGATACAAAAAATAAATAAATAAAGTTTCTATTTGTTTGTAAGATTGTATGGCTTCTCATTTTTAACCATACTTCAACCATTGCTTTTCCAATGTTTGATCATCAAACAGTGCATAACATTATTCTTGTATTAAGGGTATTCACTGTGTGCAAAGAAACTTGAACTTTATAGACTGAAATGATTAAATATAATTTATCTCCTAAAAGGGCAACCAATTATACTTTAGAGGAATGAAAATATTTGGAAAATACAGAAATGTGAAAACTGAATATTTGGCACTTCACTCAAATAAATGACCAGCTCCTTATTTTGTTTTGTTTAAAAAAATGATTCAAAAGCTTGCTATATAAAAGTAATCATTTTGGGCACCTTGAACTTAAAATATGTGCTAGAATTTATTTTCATTGCATTTTGACTTATTGTGCAAGAATATGTTAAAAATTATTAATTTCAATTATTTGCAAGAGGCCAACAAAAACAGATGTAAAATTCAAAATTGCATAAAATTTCAAACGCTACTTTCAATAGAAAAAAATACAGTATTTTAAAGGACAATGTTGTTGTCTTTTAGAATGTTGTTAAATGATTGTAAAAGTTAATAATATTATGCAAATATATACATTTTACACATGGCAACTGAAAGTTCTTACAAATTCAAAGATGAGGAAAGCATGTGTGCCATCTGTGATAAACATTATATGGCACCATATGTTTTATATGAAGCTGTACATTTGAAAACTCTATATATCTCATTTAAGCTTCATAGAATGTAAAATTTAATCTGAAAATGATGCCAGGCTAAATAGCTACTATTCATAGTACCATACTTAAAATAAGATTTAAGGTTGTTGACAAACATGGAAAAAACTTTTTATTGTTGGAAACCTTAGTGCTCTTTGAGCTTCGTTGACATTTCATTACCCAACTAAGTAACTCATCAGTGCTACTGAGTGCTTGAGTTGCTCTCTGTTTATATAGAGTAACTTGCCCTGCCAGTGTTGATGGGGTATCATTTTCTCCTTTGTCACACTATTGTTTTCTGCTTGTTTGTCAGATGTCAATCCTTGTTTATCTGGGTATTGACAACTGTAAAGAATGTGTTCTGGTCTTTTTGTTCCCTTCTTAGATTTTTTTAAATGAAATTTGCCTGCACATATTTTTAATGAAACAATAACCAAGTTCAGAGAGCACCACAGTTCAATCCTGAGTTACATCTATTATCTTCTACTGAGATTTCTATTGTTTCCCTTTTTCAATGGGAAACTGGACAGGAAATGAAATGTATCAAACTTGTCCAAATATACAGGGAATGATTCCACAGTACCATTAATTCTGTGTTTAGCTAACTGAAATACTTTCAGACATAAAACACCTTTTCTTTTTGCACATAATGATAGTCCAGAGTGAGTCTTCTTGAGCACTCTAAAGTGTTCTTCGACAAGGTTAATCATATAAATTATAGCAATGGTGTTAAGCTCACTGAGCAGGCTAAAAAATGGCAGACACTAAAATAGGATATTTAACATTTAAGGCTGATCATTTTAAGCTTTTTGCAATCTACTGTCTTCCAACAGAGATTAATGCATGTACCTACTTGTGTTATTTGTCTGGAGTGATTTTTAAATGGAAAAATTTGCTGAAGCATCAGCTGTACAGTCTGCATTTCTGAGATGTCTTAAAGACCTTTTTGTAGCATAAAGGTCTCTTTTTACGATAAGGTCAAAACACCAGATAATAATACATGGAGGGCAAACTTCTTTACTTTTTTCACTTTCCATTACACCTTTTCTGTTAATATGTCATTACTTGCCCTTTCTCCTCGAAGCTGTTAAAGTTGTGTGTTCCTGTTGGTTTTTGAGAAAGTACCATGTTGTTTTGTAAGATTTGTAAAGGGCAATTCTATACCATGATGGTTGCTATGGCATTTCTGAACTTCTGAAGGAACTAGTATGGCATTTTCTATTTTGGATTTATTTCAAAGATAGAATGGAAACATTTGTCTTTGCCTCTAAAGTAACATCAGTGCATTTGGACTTTCAAAACTTAAAATCTATACACAATCTTCAAAAATTGAAATCAATTTGTTAAAATCATTGTAATAATCCTCCACCTTAATTAAAAATGTAATGGACTTTGATTCATAATTTTCATCCTCCTTCAGATTTGGAATATTTGAATCTCACTAGCATCTGAATGGAGCATTTTCTCAAATCAGCTACAACTAATATTACAGTCCCAAGTTTATTTCAAATTTTGTATATTCAGGATTTTACTTCACCAGTAAAACAAAGCAAAGAATCAAACAAAAAGTCTTCAACCACCAGCATACTCATATTAGAACATCTGAATAAAAGAGTACTGTAAATTAAATAGCAGGCCAAATCATGTATAATATAACAAAGGTATTAAGATATACAGTTTTTTTTTTTTAAGAATTAGATTTTTCAGAAACGTCTCTGCATCCTCTTCTGCTCCTAACTAATTTATAGAAATAGAATTGGGGAAAGAATCATGACTTTGTTTCCATTTCATTCTCTAGGTCCTGTTTGCCACAATAAATGCAGAGTATGAGTTGGTACTGTAGCTTTTAAAAAATGGACAGTAGGACACATTCCTTGTATGAAATAAAATTGAAAACATAGCTGCTAAGCAACTTCAATTTCAAACTGTGATTCAGCTTGCAGTAAAGTTTCATGTATAAATGTATTCATACAACCTGTTAGAAAGTGATCCTGTTTAGCATTACATCGAATGCATAAAAATCATATATAGTTTTCACAGCATATCTTTATAATTTCCCATGATGTCTACCCACCAGTGCAAATTGGCCAGGGTTGGTAAGGTCCAGATTCCTTTGATCAAACAGTGTTACCTACTAGGAGCTAGGAAATGCAACTTTATGTCATGGTGTCTCCCCTCTGGCATGAGTTTCCCCATGAGATCTGGATGACTTCCACCCTGATGACATTCAGGAAGGCTTTCTTGGACTATGGCAGCTGGAGCCTCTTGCTGGATGTCCTTGTTTTTTTTTCCTTTTCTAGTTTTTGCTATTTTAAATTTTATTTAATTACTTATAATGGTTATAAACAAATTTATAAAATTACTATAAACTTTGTAATGAAGTTTTTTCCCTCCTACAAAACTTCAAGTTGCACTGTTCCTAGAGAATAGGCTAAATGCTGCTTTCCAAGTTATTCAGCAGTCTCTTTCTTCCGAGGAAACTTACACAATGAACTTCTGATGCCATTTTGGCAGGAGTCTATTTGTAATTAGATTATATTTGCAATTCTCTATCTGTGGTACATTGCCAAATCATCCAGCCCTATTCTCTTGTGGATTGAAGAATCAGTTTGTACCTTGCTCAGTTAGTGTTATGGTACTTTGCATCTGAATAATTCCTTGACTTTTATAAACAGTTCAAAATTTTTGGCTCAGTTGCACTTTACTGCCCAATTAGCATTTTTGAAATGATTTTGAACCAGCCAAATTTGTGTGTGCTTTAAAATAAGAATAATAGAGGGTTGGTTTATTTTATGCATCAAAGAATTCATTGTGAGTAATTGAATCATTGCCCTTGTTCTTCTTAGTAAACCAGATTGATTTATAAATAATTGGGGATATGT